GGGAACCATCCACAAAAGAGGCCCTTTTGGGCACCGGAGGCTCCCATAAGGGGGGGGGGCAATGCGGGGAACGAGAAATTGGGCCACACGCAAGAATCGCACATCGTGTACCCGACAAGACAAGAGGCAGGCGGGCACTAGGACCCGGGCCGCCTGTGACCAAGACAGTGCGGCAGGCCTAGCCCCAGGCGGGGCCTGTCAGTGCCGGGCGGGGCTTTTAAACCAGCTCTTCAATCCCAAAATTGCCGGCCCTTATTCCTGGTCCTTTTTCCTAGTACCTAGATTGCCTTTTTTGCGAACCTGCCTACCCGTTTTTCGTGATTCTCTCCTCCCCTATCCCGGCTTGCAACCATTCTTCTCTTTCTCCTGTTTACCTGACCTCCTGTTGCTGAACCGGGCCTTGACCCGTTTTTCCCTTTTGCCTGCTGACTTAAAACCCTCTGCCTTGCTTTTACGACCTGGCCTGCGACTACGTTATACCACCCTTCACATCGGGCTCTCACTTTACCTACCACGGGAAAATCCACCCTACCACAGCGGGGTTGAACTCGGGGGTCGTGACCGGTCCGGGCGCTTCAATCCCCCCCACCATCAGGGGCTCTGGTGAAACAGGGCTGGGGCTTAGATTCCGCACCCTGAGGTTTCCCGGGCCTGTGGTCGCAAGGGGCAACCCCGTGGGCCCCTTAAACACCAGCACCATCCTCCTGCTAGTCCCATACCTTCCCTTCCCAATCCTTTCTCTTACTGGCAGAGAGTGACAGTTGACATCACTCCTGTCAGTCAGCAAGCTGCCAGAGATTGGTGCAATCGCAACCAGAGTTCTGGCTATTATCCTGAATAAGCCATCAACTGCATCCAAAAGTCCAGCAAGTTCCCCTTCCCTGGACCTCGATTGATGACCCAACAGAGAACCATCACAGCAACTGCCTCAGAGCAAACAAGTCCATCAGAAGGATCGTATTTATTCATTCCTTTGTCTGCACGATCTAAAACACATACAAAACCAATTCAGAGACCAACCAAACCCAACAGAGAAAAGGGGATTTCTGATCCTGGCAGTGACAAGAGGGTCTCGGGACCTCCTAAATGTAAGAAATATTAAACAGTCCCAACTAAATATCATCCCATGTGGGATAGTAGTTCTTCAGTGTCCTGCAACCCCATCCTATTCCCCCCCTCACATCCACATCCCTATTATTGTGTGACCGCAATACACATCCAAAATCAATCTTAACGTTCATTTCCCAAAGTATCCGTCTACAAGGGAGAACTGTATAGATCACATGATGGCACCACTTGAGGATGGAGGAGGACCGGAGTCCACATGACTGCGAGAAGATACTAAACCTCACCCTGGAGATCATTCTACCAGCTTGATCCGGAGAGGTGAGGGAGGATTCTGGGAGGTTACACATGACAATCACTCTTATCTCTCATTAAATAAAACACAGACCTGACCGGGCAGAGGAAGGGAAGGATATACTGGGATTCTAACATATTCTTCAAAATGAATATTCCCTATTGGTTCCCCCAATACCAGCAGATTTCCTCTTTCTGAAGTCAGTTGATCATATGACCATCACAGTGCCGTCCATGGTGACTGCCCTAAAAAAGCCTGAGAAGACACAACATGCCAGAAGATTTCTAGAAGTCACCAAGAAGATGATAGGAGCTGCTGACAGGAGAGGTGAGTGGTGGCCGGGAATTCTGGGACATTCTCCAGTAACAGACAAGGGATGTGTCCTGGATGGTGACTGTATCATTGTGTGTGTCAGGTTCCTGATAAGGTGTCAGGTGTGTCCACTGTCCTATTTTCTCACAATGGAGGAAGTGGGAGTAATTTAGAAGGAACACAAAGGCTTCTCTACAAGGAACTGTCATGATGGACCCATTCAGGCCGCCTCCTCACATCACCGGGTAAGAGGAGACCTTATATTGTAAAGGAGAGGAGCAGTTCGGAGATCCACCTACACTCGATCCCCCCATCATCTGATAAACACATAGAAACAATGGATCAGGTCAGTGTGTGTGTATTCCCTACAGATGGATCCAGTCATAGGGACACCCACCAATAGAGATGTCCCCCGTCCTCTTGTAATTCCCGGATTCCACACAGGAAGATTCACGCCATCCCTCACTGTTGCAAGGTAGGTGGGATGGGAGCATCTAGAACATGGACTTGTGGAGACAATGAGTGGATATTTTTATGTGACCATACATTTACAGATGATGATTTCCTCTCTCATTTCCTTGAATTTAGAGTGGAGATTCCAATCGATATAGAATTTGAGGTGAAAGCAGAAGAAGAAAGAGGCGTAATTGTGAGGGATGATCAGCAGTCTATGGAGTAGGATGTAAATAACTGGGACATTGTATAGAGGAGACAACTCCTACAGAGATCAAGCACAAAGGTGGGACATGATCACTAAATCCATTCCCATCCACCCATACTGCTCACTGATTGGACCAGAGTAGGGGCGGGGACCCCCACCCCTTGGGGGGTAATTTTTTTTTTGATATCAGCCTGTAATCCCCTTGGTCACGTTTCCTGAGCTGTGTTCCCCAGTCCTGTATTCCTGGATTTCTCTCGGATAATCTTCCATCTCTGTGCTGCAGACACAATTTAATTGTTATCCTAGACTGGAATTTATGGAGTTTTCTGGGGTTCAGCTGGCAGCAAAAATGTGGATTTTCATGATAGAACACAATTGACTAAGACCTAGGCACCTGGGATGGTGTGCTTTGGTTCTTCCTTGCCCCATGCCCCGGGACCTAGTAAGAATCTCTGACAGAACAATTTCTCCCCAGGGTTTCCCTTGCTCAGTGGTCTGCTGGCTGTCGCCGGTGCGGATAGGGATAATGTCTGGTATAAGTCCTCAGACCCATAGTCACTGAGTTGCAGTCCTTCAGGAGATGGGAGGCAGCGTGTGGATCTCTGCAACTTGTCTACAGTACTACATTTTTAATCTTCCACTTGATCTACTGAATAACCAATATTATTGAAGTCCTCGACCCCTTACACTGTATCATTTTTTATTGGCACATTACATTACTCCTGACTCCTACACTATTTACTCTATGTTGTACATTAACATACTCCTGACCCGCCTGTCACTATATACTTCTATGTTGTACATTACCATGAGTCCTGACTTCTTCTCTCCCCCCTCCCCCCACTCGCTATAAATAACACATAATATGGATGTCTCTTATGTCACAAACCCCATTCCTACCAGCCTGGACATTTTATTCGGATGATGTGATTGGAGCACAGACTTTTACAACATGGTGATAAATAATGTGATAACATCCTCCAACTTTGGACCCTTAAACAGAAAGTGATAATGAGGGAGGAGTCAATACCCCCAATGGATGGTGGGACCTTCAGGATCAGTCCAGTCTTCATCTTGGTGTTGTTCCCCCCATCCTCACTCTCTGACCTCTGGTGGGGCTCAGCCCCGCTGTTTCTTCATGACTAAATCATGGAGTAAATAAGGAAGTGCAGTACTTCTTGTGTTGGGAAGATGGCGATGAGTGATAGAGGGGTGGGGACCCTCGTCCTAAAATCCCCTCATCACTGTCCCTCCTATAAAAGACAGTTCTGGTTGTTTCCCCACTCTCTGACTAAGGTCCATGAATAAAGAAATGACCTGGTAGGAGATCAAGAGGAGCCATTTCCTAGTTCCCTTGAGGGTGGAATTGTAAGTGCCTCAGAGCCCAAGCTGCCTGATGTGGGCGGAGTCCTTGTTTGGGAGAAGAAACAAAACAGAGACCAATCCTGTCTAGTAATCCTCTTTGTTATTTTGTATTTTAGTCCATGGCCGGGAGATTTGAGGAGAAAACCTCCGAGGATTGTCCCCTCACTTTGTCTCCAGACTGGAAAAGTAGAAGATGAGGACATCACACAGTATAGTCCAGGAGAAAACCCGCTCCCTCCAATGTCCATCCGGCACCGACCCAGTGTAGATGGACCATCGATTCCTCGTATAACCTGAGGAACCTCAGACTGTGTGGGGACCAGGCCGGCCTTTCAACAGGGAAGAGCTTCTCCTGTACTGAGTGCGGGAAGAGGTTTCCGTTCTACATACCATCTTGAAAAATGTGCATAAAAGATCTCACACGGGAGAGAAACCGTATTCCTGTGCTGAGTGCGGGAAATGTTTTTCTGTGAAGTCCAGTCCTTCACACACATCAGAGATTGCACAAAGGGGAGAAGCCATATTCCTGTTCTAAGTGCAGAGAAATGTTTTTCAAAGAAGTCCCATCTTTGCACACATCAGAGATCTCACACAGGAGAGAAGCCGTATTCCTGCCCAGAATGTGGGAAATGTTTTTCATGACAAGTCCAGTCTTTACAAACATCAGAGATCTCACACAGGGAGAAGCCGTATTCCTGTCCTGAGTGTGGGAAATGTTTTTTCAGACAAGTCCAGTCTTTACAAACATCAGAGATCTCACACAGGGGAGAAGCCGTATTCCTGTCCTGAAGTGGGAAATGTTTTTCATGGAGGTCCAATCTTTACAAACATCAGAGAATCTCACACAGGGGAGAAACCATATTCCTGTCCTGAGTGTGGAAATGTTTTTCACAGAAGTCCCATCTTTCCAGACATCAGAGCTCTCACACGGGAGAAACCAGTTTTGCCCTGTCCTGAAGTGAGGGAATTGTTCCTCAATGAAGTCCTGTCCTTCCTGTACATCAGGGTCGTCCCACACAACCCCTATAGGTGTATTAAGTTGCCTTGAGTGCGGGAAAGGTCTTCTCTATGAATTTTGCTGGACATCCCAGTTCTCATGTGGGGAAGAAGCACACCCTGATATACACCTCAGATATACTCCCATGGCTAATCTTCATCATGGAACAAATAGTTCATAAGGAGATCAGAGGGTCCCCCAAGACATGGATGAAGTGTGGGATCGGGTTGGCCAGTGATAGCAATGAGCAGAATAAAAATGGAGTCCTGCCCTGTCAATGGCTGAGTACATTTTGTGGTGGGAGATTCACAAACACTTTGAGGTCTTGTCACACTTACCTCTAACCCAGGTGGTCAGACACTAATCTGGCTTCTGTGGTCTTTACCTAATAGCAGCCCCTTTCCCATAAGGCAGGCAGGCGCCTACTGGTACTCGGTGCCCCCCATGACTGATACACAATGCAATAGTGCCTGGCTACCACACCAAGAGCAGGTGCAAACTGAGCACAGCAACAGGTACTTGTGGTTGGCAGGCAGGCAGAATGGTTCAATGACAGGCCAGGTACAAGGCGAGTTCATCTCCCGAACATGTCAGTTTTCTCAACCGGGCAGTATTTGGGACAGGACCCCATTGTCTGGGACTGAAGATCTGGCTCTCTGTCTGTTTTTTATGGTCAGCTTGTGAGATTCCATTTGTGATCTATCTTTTAATAAATTTGATATTACGGTAATCCCCAGCACCCTCTTGTGTGTTGTCTTTGTCAGTTTCCCAGATTCCCCCATCTGTGGAGGGCTGCACCTCATCAAGTGACAGATAACCGTGTGGAATTGTGAAGCACCAAGATTTGAGCACTGTTTGTGTTTGGCAACATTTGATTGATAAGGCAGGCAATATTCAGAGTAATCAGGTCCAATCCCTAGCCCAAAGACAGGCAGAGTTCAGAGAGTAATTGATATCTGATCCCAGGTCATAAACAGAGGAATCCAAACAGCAGAGCAGGACAGACTGACAGGGAGCTTGAACACGTATTACACACGCTATCACAAGCATGAGACTGCAGGTTTGGCTGGCTTAAATCAGGTTTGGTCTGCACCCAGAGAGACTGGCTGCATCATAGCTAAAACCAGGATGCTGTAATGAGACCATCAGCTGTGATTTATCAGGAGTAGACACTCCTGACATTAGCCCCCTCTGAGGAATAACCCACGACCCTTAAATGCTTGCTCGGCATCTGGCACAGGACCATCAGGCTGGGCATATGACAAAGGACCATCAAGCTGGGCTTCCAGCAAAGGATGCTGGGCAATGGTCAGGGGATCAGCAAAGTCAGGTTGGTTAGCAGGCAGAGAGTTTATGGTGCCAAACTGCACATAAAGAACCTGTGATAAGCAGTGTGACATGGTACTGAAGTCAAGCTGGACCGCAGGCTGGATGCAGAGTGGCCTGAAGAGAAGGTTGTGGGCCCCACATGGCTGAATGAGGCAGTTTATCCAAAGGCTGGATAGAACTTCTTAGACAGGTTTGAGCAGATGTAGTTGCAGTTGGGTGAGGCAGGGTTATTGAAATTCCCAAAAATCAAAGAGCAGGAGGCTCAATTGGCCTGGGCTGAACCAGAACAACTGGTGCAGAGGCAGACTGGACCACACTGGCCGGTGTACAGACAGACTAGACCACATCAGCAGGTGTAGAGGCAGCAGAACTTGAGGACAAGTCCCAGCCTGGATATGTGTCCAAGGGTGTTTAGGGACAGGCAAAGGTAAGGGTAATCCAGAGGGTTTGACTTTTGAGGACCTGAGTGAGCACAGCTTTTCAAGCTTTTACATAGGCACAGGAGTCCTTATGGCGAGAAAGCCACTAAAGTCCCATGAAAAACCAAAGAAAATGTTTCAGTAATCCCTGAGTGCTTCGCCATCTTAGTGCCATGTTTCTTCAGAAAACTAGAAAATAGAGTCCAAAAGGTCAGGGGAAATGGCCCTCATCACTTGTGCTGAGGGTAAGACATAATTCTTGGAGGACATTTCTGAACCAGGCTCAAGGCTGCGAGGCAGTGGGGTGAGTTTGGTCTCTAGGAGGAAAAGATTCAGACATTGGCAATTGGCTGAATAGATGACCTGTAGAGGATTCAATAAACTTGTCAGTGTCTTCTGCTACAACAGAGTCATACAAAGGCAAACGGTTACGTAAACTGGAGTCACACTTGAAAAGTTGTCATGATCAGGATCTGAATAGGACTGTAAAGGCAAGTGACTGGTATTGGCCACAAAAGAGTTACAAATGGGAAACTGGTCAGCAGTTTTATTACAATTCTGGAGGCAGGCCTGGGACATGGACCTAATATCCCCTGTAGCCCAATGTACAGTATGTGCAGGTTATGGAGTCTGAGCCAAGGACAACCTAAGATAAGGAGATGTTATCAGGTAGAAGCTGATTGTCTCCCTATGACATTCCCCAATGGTCAGAGTAATAGGTACAGGGCACAAGGTGACCCGGCCCATGGACAAGGGAGAGGTATCAACAGTTAAGACTGAAAAGGGTTTTTGCACATTAGTCAAGGGAATCTGTAGATGGCATGTTAGGTCCCCATCATGAAATTGCTAACGGCACCAGAATCTACAAAAGCTGAGAGGTGATGAGAAAATGTGTCGAACTAAGTTGTGCAGGAACAAATAGTTTATCTCAGGGGGAACCTGGGACCGTATAATCAAGAGAAGCAGTCCAGACATGCACTAGACTCTTGGCATTTCCCAGCTTGTTGGGGCCGTGGTCCCCACAGTATAAGTCCCTGGGATCTTCTAGCCTTTTCCCCAGAGGATAAAATATAGCATACAACTGTTTTTAAAGTTGGAAAACATGGGGATCACCAGAAAAATGGTCAGGGGGGTTAACCTTGGGCTCTGGTTCCTGAGGTACTGCTGGGGGTGCGTTTACACACAGACAGGTCTGGGCTTGATGTGTCCGTTTGTTAATCTCATCAAATACACGAGGCTGTGTAGAGTCCATCTTCACAGAAACATGTTCTTGTTAAAGACTTGTGATAATGTCACACTTACCCCTAACACAGGTGGTCACACACTATAGATGGCTTCTGTGTTCTTCACATAAGGCAAGCAGACCTACCGCTTCTCAGTTTCCCCCAGGACTTACACACAATACTATAGTGCCTGGCCACAAGTCCAGGCCAGGTGCAAACTGTAAAACCAACAGGTACTGTAGTTGCAGTTGGCAGACAAGCAGAGTGGTTCAAGGACAGACCAGGTACGAGCAGGCAAGGTTCAGAATACTCAAGGTAAAATCCATAGTCAAAGATGCAGAGTTCAGAGTTGTCCGATATCCAATCTGAGGTTGTCAACAAGGGAATCCAAACTGCAGAGCAAGACAGACAAACAGGCAGCTTAAGTACATGCAACCAGTGCTATCACAAGCATGAGACTGCAGGCTTGGCTGGCTTAAGTCAGGTTTGGTCTGGCTACATCAATCACCTTGCAGATGGACAGACAGAAAGGGAGAATGCATCACAGCCAAAACCAGGATGCTGGAATGAGGAGCAGGAGTGCTACTCACTCCTGACACTGCCAGACTTACCCACCTTACCAACAGCTCAGTGTCTACTACCCCTCTCTGCCGATCCCTCCACCCCTCTCTGCCGATCCCTCCACTGGCCTCCACCCCTCTCTTCCAATCCCTCCACCCTTCTCTGCTGATCCCTTCACCTCTCTCTTCCAATCCCTCCACTGGCCTCCACCCCTCTCTACCAATCCCTCCACTGGCCTCCACCCCTCTCTTCTAATCCCTCCACTGGCCTCCATCCCTCTCTTCCAATCCCTCCACTGGCCTCCGCCCCTCTCTTCCAATCCCTCCACTGGCCTCCACCCCTCTCTACCAATCCCTCCACTGGCCTCCACCCCTCTCTACCAATCCCTCCACTGGCCTCCACCCCTCTCTACCAATCCCTCCACTGGCCTCCACCCCTCTCTACCAATCCCTCCACTGGCCTCCACCCCTCTCTTCCAATCCCTCCACCCTTCTCTGCTGATCCCTTCACTTCTCTCTTCCAATCCCTCCACTGGCCTCCACCCCTCTCTACCAATCCCTCCACTGGCCTCCACCCCTCTCTTCTAATCCCTCCACTGGCCTCTACCCCTCTCTACCAATCCCTCCACCGGCCTCCACCCCTCTCTACCAATCCCTCCACTGGCCTCCACCCCTCTCTACCAATCCCTCCATTGGCTTCCGCTCACCAAACTAATCAAATTCCAAATACTAACAACAAAGAAGACCATCCACAACTCTGCCCCCAGCTGCATCACCAACCAGGACTCAAAATACCAACCAAACCGCTCTTCAGTCATCTCAAGACCTCCCGCTCTCTGGATTCCTTTTCACCGCCTCCCATGCTCACCTCCAGGACGTCTCCTGAGATTCTGCCATCTTATGGTACTCCCTACCCCATTCTGTCCAACTATCTCCACCTTTAGAGGATCCCTGAAATCCTTCTCTGTAAAGAAGCCTCTCCTGCTTCTAACGAACACACTGTGTTTTAGTTCCTCCATCGGCCCATTGCCCAGTTATGACCTTTGTATCACTTCACCCTCCCTCTTAGATTGTAATCTCTCACGAGCCGGCCCCTGATTCCTCCTGTACCAAATTGTATTGTAGCTGTACTGTCTTCCATCATGTTGTAAAGCGCTGCGCAGATTGTTGTCACTCTATAAATCCTGTATAATAATCCGATGATAATGATTCTGTACTGAAGTGTACCCTGGATACAGCATTGTACTAATATCAGGATCACAATGTCACCAAACATGGTATCAATGAATCTCATTCTGATACTAGTGAGCTGTGATTGGCCCACAGCTATCACATGGTACCTGGGCCAGTCACACAGCACCCTCTACTATGTGATGTAGTGGTAGCCAATCACAGATCACTAGTAATCACAGCTGTCATGAATGACACTCTGTA